GAAAAATGCAAAATTTTGTTGAGATAGTGGATGTATTTTGAAAATCACATCTTAGAATCCAGTTGCATACCATACCTAAAGGAGTTGGCTGAGAGATGGTATCAGATATGAATACACGATATTCGCACCATTCTGTGAAAGATGTCCAGCATCCCAAAAGATTGACAATGCAGGATTTTCGCCTTTTTTCTGAGCAATTGGCCCACACATTTGACCATGCAAGCAGCATGCCTTGAACAAATTATCAGATCCCACAGTTTCTACAACATGAAAAAGAAATTATCACGATTCTGTGCATTCAAAGTTTGGATATATGGAGGTAAAATATTAGTTCCTCCAAGTTTTTCATAAGTCCAGGATGGAGAGCAAAACGTTGAAACATCTCTGGTTCGACACCCTATACATTCATGTCTTTTCAATATATTGCAAAATAAATAAACTTCATGATATTAGAGTATAGAAGTTTTTAATGTATTTTTTATTTATAAATTTATTAAAAAAATATTTATTAAAAAAATTATTTTTAATATTAACATCTTTAATAATTTAAAAATATATAAAAAAATTATTTTTAACAAAAAAAAATAAAAATTTTTATACACACTGAGGGCACGAAGCCGTACTAAAAGAATCTTCTTACTTTTGAGTTTTTTCTATTTTCTCTTTATTACTGTGTTGGACCAAATTACCCTCAAAATGCACTGGTCCAGTTTTCTTGGATTAGGTCACTTCACAGACCCAAAATTAAGGCGATTTCATACTAATACAAAACCAGAAGTTTACAAAATGAATTTCATTCCTGAAAAAAAATTCTTCATTTTTTCTTGCATTTCACAAATGCATTTACCCATCAGTTGGGGGAGATGCGTGTTTCGGAGATGTAAGAGTTTATTGTCTACGCTTTTGTTGCGGGTTGGACTCAAAGTTTTTTAGAATATAAAAAAATAATATCTAAACTATTAAAAAAGACCTTGTAAATATTATTATTAAACTTAGTATAATAGTTTAATTTTGAAAAGTTTCAACCTAATTTTTGAATTATTTTGTATTTCAAATTAAACTATTTAAAAATTATCTTGTTGTGACCTTATCAACTAAATAAATTTTAAAAATTTACCCTAATTAATCCGCTTAATTCACTACTTGAGTTATTTTTTATTATTTTAAAAATAAAGATAAATAAATAAATTTTTATAGCATTAAAAAATTATTGTGCTCAAAACTCGAATCCATGACGTTCTCTACTTATTACCACTATGCATCAATCAAATCAGCCACTATATGAAATTAATATAAGGTGATTAAAACTATATACTAATCTAATTTTTATGTATACAGTTAAATCGACCTGAGTTTGACCCCAGGCTTTCTAGTTGTATTTAAAATGAAATAGTGACATCAAAAATTGAATCAAAAAGAGACAAGAATACAAACTAATTTTTTCCAATAATATTAAGAACACAAACTGGCGCGAAAGCTTTGTTATGCCGAATGATATACAATAACAGCCCAACTCACATTCTACCACTTCCCAGTTCTCCATGAAAACAGAGCTTTTATATCAATTTAATATAAGTAACAAATGACCGAGAAAAAAAATTCCCCATGATGAACATTGTGCGCGATCCCATCCAAGTAGCACATGATGATGCCATATTGTTTATGAGAACCCAATTTGATTTCTCGATTTTTAGCAACCTAAAACAACATATTCAAATAAAAATGTAAGAATGATTCCCAAGATAATATCCTGCAGAAGTAATCACCTGAACAAAACGAAGAAAAATGCAAATTTCTTTAATATATTTGCAATTAAAGCGTATCTTAGAATCTAGTTGCATACCTAAAGGAGTTTGTTGAGAGATGGCACTAGATATGAATAAACAATGTTCGCACCATTCTGTGAAAGATGTCCAGCATCCCAGAAGATTGACAATGCAGGTTGGTCGCATATTTTATGAGCAATTGGGCCACACATGTGACCATCGAAGCAGCATGCCTTGAACCGATTCTCAGATCCCACAGTTTCTACAACATGAAAAAGAAACTATCATGATTTTGTGCATTGAATGTTTATATATAGAGAGGTAAAACATTAGCTCTTCCATGTTTTTCATAAGTCTAAAGGCATGGAAAGGATGCTGATCAAAACAACATTGAACATCTCTGGTTCGATCAACACTATATATTTTCATGTCTATTCAATATACTTGGAAGCACCGAAGAACGCATCTCAATTATGCAGAATAATAATGACAAATCACCTGTGTTTTCGTCAAATAAAGCTGACTCGATGGCACTATAAAGATCCAAATACACAAATTTGGCTCCATTGCTCTCCTTGTTCAGAATTTGCAGTGACTCTTTCAATAACTTGTTGTGCGTACTCGATGCTTTGTTCCAAGTTTTGTCACACTTACGAAGCGTTTCACTATACAAGCCTGGAAAGCATCCCCTTGGAGGTGTCCCAAATATAGCTATCTTTTTCACTCCTAAAGCACGAATTTCTCTTAGGTTCTTTGTAAGCAGATCAACAATTGCTTTAGTTTGATCGAACACATCCTGTTACGCAAACAGAAAAATATGCAGCATATTTGAGAAAGGGAAAAAAAGAAAGAAAGTAAATGAGTCGAGGCACTTACCTTCATGGTGCCTTTTTGGTGTCTAGAGTGGTATATATAATCATTGCCAGTGTAAGACACCAGAGCAATAGAATCTTCAAGATCAGCTTTGGTGTACACTTCTCGGGCAATTTGTTCCTTAAAATTACACACTTGAAGTGTCATTGAGTAGTTATTAAATGACACGTCGAGAACACCGCTCCCTCCACGCGCAAAGTTCATTCCATCCTGTAGTTCTGATTTTGATGCTTTGTCCCTCCGTGCATAGATCACGGGAGCTCGTATATGGAGAAACGACGCTGCATGTATTGAAAAGTCCGAAAGTAACAAACAGATGAGTAAACATGGAGATCGTTAAAGAATTAGTAAATGTTGAGTGATTAGTTTTTAAAGTGTATACTATAAAACAATCTAAAATCATTAAAAAAATAGTTTAAAGTTTTTTTAAAAAACACTGTTTGAAACCAATTACAAACAATTTCTAAATCCAGTCTAGATTTAACCAGCTTAACGCCAAGAAATTTAAAATAAAACGGTATAATTTTGGATAAAAATAATATATTCTGGTTGATAGGATAACATAGTAATTCGTACTTTTTTTAAATCAAACCAATATATGCGAGTGAAAATTAGACAATTAAGTACCTATATAATCCGTCAACATAAGACCATCAGAGGACTTGATACCCATGTTTCCAGTGTCTACGAACGAGTCTCCGATGACAAAAAGCTTTGTCTTTTTGTTCTCTTCATGTCCTGCAATTCGTAGGGTTAATTTCTATGTTCAATAAAGGGTAGCAGAAATACATAAGAAAATTTTGAAAGAAGAAGAAAAACAACTTCAAATATAAATGGTGTGATTAACCTGTGGAAATAGCAACGAGGGAAAATAGAAGCAGAAGAGCAAAAAGTTTGCCCTTCATTTCCATTGAAAAAGAAATAGAGAGAAATCTGTAAATGTGGGTGAAGTTTAATGTGGGTGAAGTTTTGAGAAAGACATGGTCGGGTTTTATAGGCATGGCTTTATGGTTATGCACAGCTCATTGACAGGGTTTCATGTGAGTTGTGAGGTTTCTGGAGACAATCCAGTTAATGTTTCTTGATATTGTTCGTTTTACCTTCCTATTTTTGGTGTGTTACATGTTAGCATCCATTGTGCCAACAGCTTATGAGTAATTACAGTGTGTTCCACTCAACATTATGAGTTAATGTAGTGGCAAATCAAGTATAAACTGCCAACTAAACATGATAAGTTTGTCTTCTTGTTCTTCTTCTCTTTTCTCTGTCTTTTTAGTTTTGATCAACATTCTGTCCGAAACAGAGAGAGAGAGAGAGAGAGAGAGAGAGAGAGGAAGAGAGGAAGGAAGGTTGGTCCAACTTTTTTGGGCAGGCAAGGCATATGATAAAGGTGAAACAATGTTGATTCGGTTTATTAGGTACTTTTTGTTAGTGCGGTACGAGTGCAGGGAGGAACAGGTGTCTTTTTTTTTTTAAGTGAATCTCAGATATTAGTAATTACTACTAAACAGTAAACACTATAAATTTTCCGTGGATGTAGCATAATTTAAGGAGAAGCTCTTGCTAAGTTCTTGATGTTTGTACAATACTCCATATCATCTAATAATGGAATTGAAGCCCAACTTCGAGAAGTATGCAGAGATGACATAGCCTGCTCGCATGGGTTCATGATGTCAGACAAGGTTGAAGAGCCAAAGCCCAAGTCTCTTTATGAGTTTTTCAATAATCTATTGAGGTGCAGAAACCAGGGGTTCATGTGTCAAACCCCCACTTGGGAAAATAAGAGAAACCAGGGGTTCATGTGTCAAACCCCCGCTTGGGAAAATAAGACTATTTAGACGGTGTCAAGTGATAAGAACTTGAGATTAAGAGGTTTGTTCTCTCTGTGGTCTTAAATTCGAGTTCTTGGTTGTTCATATGATGGCCACTGGAAGTTTACATGGTCGTTAGCTTCAGGGCCCGTGGAATTAGTTGTGGTGCACACAAACTGACTCAAACACCCACATTAATCTAAAAAACAAAGGACGAACGAATTTTTCAAGACCTGGTCAATAGCCATGGGGTTCTGTGATATTGATCGGTGTGTTTTCATCGAAGCTAGCTTGTATACTAGGCGGCAGCAATATATGAACCTTTATGGGCAAAACAAAGTTTCATGGTATATGCTAAAGATAGATTATTCGATGTCTCTTTTATCAGCCACGTAAACACGAATGTTCGACTTTCAAGATACCATGATACCTGATTGTATCTTCCTTGACAGCTAATACGCCAATCGTCAATGTATTTACCAATGTTAATTATCTGAGTTCAGACGCGGTGACATGCATCAGTTCCAAGTAGCAATTGCTTATATAGACATCATGCAGCAGATGGTCCAGGGCATTTTCAATAGCTTTCCAAATTTCATCAAGATGCCTGCTGAAGAATTGTGGACTAGTATCATCACCAAGAAGGAAGCTGACGATGCTCAATCCAAGAGTGGTTTCGATCCAAAAACCGGAATTTATCACTCGTTACATCAACTTGGAGAAAATCTCCAAATCCCCACTAGACATGACCTAGACACGACCAGTTATGTGCTATCCCAGTTCCCCCATCCTGATCATGCTGAGACTAAAGTTGCACTTGTTGATTTGGCTACCAACCAGCAAGTCACCTATGCTCAGCTTCATCGATCCATCCATGCCCTTGCATCAGGCTTGTACAATGGTCTTGGAGTCCGAAAAGGTGATGTGGTGTTTCTTCTGTCACCAAACTCAATCTTGTACCCGACAATATGTCTAGCTGTATTTTCCATTGGAGCAATCCTTAGTCCTGCCAACCCAGCTAACACAGTATCAGAAATTTTGAAACAAATACGGGACTCGGGTGCTAAACTTGTCATTTCAGCACCAGAGGAGTTGCATAAGTTGGTTGAAAATGGAGTGCCTACACTAGTTACAACTCGAGAGTCAAATGACGATTCACTATCTGTCAAAGAACTAATTGAATGTAGCGGTCCGCTTGAGTTGCCACAGGTCAGGATAACTCAATCAGACACTGCAGCTATACTATACTCTTCAGGTACTACTGGCACAAGCAAAGGTGTGATATTAACACATTCAAACTTCGTAGCCATCATGACCCTCCTGAAATGGTCAGTCTATGCAAGTTCATCACAAAATGACATATTCTTGTGCTTTGTCCCAATATTTCACATCTACGGCCTTGCATTTTTCGGGTTAGGATTATTCTGTGCCGGAATTACTACTGTGTTAATGCAAAGATTTGATTTTCAAGCAATGCTTGATGCTGTTCAAGCTTACAAAATTAATAACATACCTGCAGTGCCTCCAGTGATACTTGGGCTAGTGAAACGTGCTAACAAAGTCGAGTGTGACTTGTCATCTTTAAGAAGGGTGGGATCTGGGGCTGCCCCATTGAGTAAGGAACTGTCTGACGAGTTTAGGCAAAGGTTTCCATGGGTAGAGCTAAGGCAAGGTTATGGGCTAACAGAAAGCAGTGGTGCAACAACCTTTTTCATCTCTGATGAGCAGGCTAAGGCACATCCAGCTTCTTGTGGAAGGCTCGTCCCAACTTTCAGTGCTAAGATTGTAGATACTGAAACGGGATCAGCTTTGCCACCTGGTAGAAAAGGAGAGCTGTTGTTGAAGAGTCCTACTATAATGAAAGGGTACTTGGGAAATGAGGCTGCTACTGCTGCAACATTTGATCCAGATGGTTGGCTGAAAACTGGTGATATTGGTTATTTTGATGAAGATGGATTTCTTCATATTGTTGATCGGATTAAGGAGCTGATCAAGCACAATGGGTATCAGGTATTTCAGAATACTCTTTCACCATTTCTGCTCATCATGTTTTTGCGAAAAGCTTAGCTCTTCGAATGATCCAGAATCAAGCTCCTTTCTTAGTCAAGTTCGGGGGTTCTTTTAACCAAAACTGTCTGGTGCTAAATGCAGGTGGCTCCAGCGGAATTGGAAGCTATTCTTCTGGGTCATCCCCAAGTACTTGATGCTGCAGTTGTACCGTAAGTTGTCTTTCAGTGTCTCTCTCTTTCCCTCTTTGATCTATCAGTATGTATTAACACATATTTTGCAGTGTTGAAGATGAAGAAGCTGGACAGATACCAATGGCATATGTGGTGAGAACAGCTGGTTCTGAACTCACAGAAGAACAAGTCATTCAATTTGTTGCTAATCAGGTTGATCTGATAGCTTCTCCCTTCTTACTTCAAGCGGACTCTTAAGATTTATTTCTTCTGATCCTGTTATATGAAAATCTTAGGTAGCCCCATACAAGAAAGTACGAAGAGTGGGTTTCATCAGCGCCATTCCAAAGTCTGCTGCAGGCAAAATCTTGAGGAAGGAGCTTGTTTCCCACAGCCAACTAGTTATCTCAAAATTGTAACTTTCCTCCGTTTTTAACCTGATACCAGACCAGGAAATGGTGGAGCTGTGGAACTCAGGCGGAAAGGACTTGAAAAAGAGAGCATAAACACCTCAGATAAAGATCAATGGAAGGAAATAGTTATTCAAACTTGATTTTTTTTTCCCGGTTCTGTACTGTGAGCTTTGGATAATTGCGTATCCATGTATGATAACGTAGAACAGAGTGATGATACCTGATGATGAAATAAAATGCTTTCGAAACCTGGAGTCTCTTACCGTCGTCATCTTTTGTTGTTCAAGTAGAACTCGTAATGTAAAGATCATAGCCATTTCCCACCTCGAGGAGGAAAATTGGACGGATATAACCATGCTACTTGTGATTCTCAATAACAACGTCAGATCTAGAAGAAGAATGGATGCTGTGGGTTAAATTTTACGGATGCTTTATGATGTTTTATGGAGACGTTTATTTTTGCATTTCAAAAACATTTTTGAAAAAATTTAATTTTTTTCTTACTTCAAATAATTTATTTTTGTTTTCAGATCTTGTATTAATGTCAAAAATAAAATAAAAATATTATTTTGATATATTTAAAAAAAAAAACACTTTGAATGCTCTACCATAATGATCCTGCAGAGAAAAGTCATGCAGTATGACATGGAACTGCTTGCCACCGGAAAGGGAAACAAGTAACACGTTGGTTTTAGAAAGGCATCACAAGAATCAATTCCCTTCCAAAGAATTATATGATATTGTTCTCCATAAAATAAATAAGTTCATAAAATAAAAAATATTTGTTTATTATATGATATCCAATGAAATTTGTAATGTACCAGGAGAGAATAATTCAATTCTACAGAAACAAATAAAACAAGTGTCGTGTGGGATGGGGAAAAAATCAAACAATTACCCGTTTCACAGAAAACAACAGTGCGACTGCACAGACTATATATCTTGTACCCGTTTCTAACTTAAACCTCCCAAAAAAACTCTAACAGTGGCCGAGGATCAGCACCCATTGGCCAAATACACAGAGGCTATTTGTATTAGCTTGAGACGGCTATGGCTGCTAAAGTTTTGGCACAATTTTGAGGCTTTGGCCTTGAACAGTTCGATGATTTGCTAGTTTAGCCAGCTATCCAGCGCCAGACACCTCCAGAACCTTGTCTTTGAGCTGCACTACGCTCTATCTCCTGCTCCAGTGCAGATTTCTGTCTTCGAAGTAGTTGTACTTCATTCTCTATGGACTGCAATGATTCCAGTATCTTCTGTAACTCAGCAATTTGAGCCTGGAAATTACAATTAACCATAGTAAACCAGATTCCAGAAAAGGGAATCAAGGTCCACGCAATAAACCGGTCAGATCACCACGAGATGACATAAAAAGATTAGCAGAGGGAGAAAAAAAGGGATAGCGGGAACAAGATGAGAGAGAGGGGAGCACCTCAAGTTTAAAGCATCTTGATCTCTCAGCAGCTAGTTGACCTTGAACAGAATGGAGTTCCTTCAAAAAAAGAGAAGAAACAGAAAGAAAGAAAGAAACCAAAGAGAAATTGTTACTAAAACTATATATTACCACTTAATGAAAGAATGTGTTCCCTAGTACAAGAAAATAATCATCAAGAACATACCTTGGATAGTTCTGCATGAGTACCATTAACTTCATCAACCTTTTCTGTAAGCCTAGAATTTTCTGCTCTGACTTCGGTGAGGGACGATTCCAGCACCTTTTTCTCTTCTTTAAGTGCATCAATTTCAAATGCTAAATCTAGTTCAGAAGGATTGTTTCCAACTCCATTAGAGTTCAGATTTAAGCTGGAGAAATCTAACTTTTCAGATTTGGCTAAAGCATATGCAGAAGTAACAGAAGCTGCAGCTGCTGCTGCTGCTGGTGACTGAAAAATCTTTGGACGTGATGCATCACTTGGTTTAAGTCTCATAACAAAAACCTAGAAAATACAGGTCAATCAAGGAAATCAGGTTATAGTGAGAAAGATGGTGCATATAGGCACCATAACCAGCGCCAATGTTACTATAGCACATACCTCGTTATTGTATTTCCCATTATAGCCACCAAAGGCAACCAAATGCCTCTCTCCATTGATTAATGCTGAGCAAACACTAAGTCCCTGCTTTTGAAATTATATTTAGAAATTTTGCAAGCATAGAAGTAACTACTACGTCAATTCAACCACAACTAAGCTAGATCAACACATTAAAGTTGACTGAGCTATCTTGGACACATAATTAGCATACAAGTTCAGTCATCATTTTAGTTATAATCCACCAGAATTTTTGTGTTTCCCCAACAACTATGAATTTTCTACACGAGTTAAAATTACCATCAAAATCAACTGTACAGGCATGGAATCCATAAACGGATCATTATGGAGTCTAAAACCTACAATCAGTGAATTGATGTCTGAAACTGGGAGTTTCTTCGACTTCTTCAAATTGATGGTTAGCTTATAGCCATATAATTTAAATGAGATCCAGAATGATACACCCCATGTCTTCAAACTGATTTTGATTGTTTTCAGTCCTTTTCAAATTATTGATCTTTGACCTATGAAATTGCTATCCATTATCCAGCTTTCCTGAAAAATGAAGATGTACTAACAATGTTTTGCTTCTGGTCCAAAAATTTTCCTAAATAAAACAGATGGCTCAGATTAAAAACTTGAGAAAGGCACAAAGTACTGACCTCACTAGCAAGTGGATCTCTTTCCTTTACACTTGTCAATGCTGACCAAGCTAGCTTAGACATATTTAACACAAGTGTTTCTGGGCAACCTGTGCATCATAACCAATTAGAGGTAACAATTTTAGAGAATAGTGGTGAGCGCGTCCAATGCTGGGAATACAATTAAACAAAGAAATGTTATAGCATACCATTTTTGTTATCTCCACCACCAACAACATACCAGTTCTCACCAATGATTACACCAGCATGACCAGCCCTAGGAGTGACCAAATCACCTTGAACTTCAGGCTGGGACCACTCCATCTACGATAAGAGAAGATCTTGTCATTGTTAAAAGGAGACAGATGTCTGCATCTATGGAATCTGGGGAATGCAAAATCTGTATATATTCCAAATATTGATATACCAGAGCAGTAACTGCTGCTCAGTCAACATAATTTTCTTATTACATTAAAATCCCATGCAATAAAATAAAAAAAATAAGCATGTCTTGGTTAGTCTAGAAGCAGCCACTGGAATATTATCACTGAATATGCAAGCCAATGTCAACACCCATAGCATGCTTCTTCTTTTTTACAAGTGTCTCATGGACTAATAATTTCATCAAGAACTATTATCATTTATAGAATACACCGGCATGCTGTGTATCTTATTCTGATGCCTTAGCAATCCACTTCTTGACACATATTAAACATATGCATTGAGTTTCTAGTAATTCATTTCTCAATAAATAAATTGAACATGGTAACATTTACCTCACATTATACACGTCAATTCAATCAAGCCCCACATCCATAACCTACCTCTCATCCCAAAAGATAAATAAACAGCAACACTTACAGTTTGTAAGTCAAGTACATGAAGATCATTGAAGAAGATTGAATGAGAACAGCCACCAAAGATTAGAAGGTAGTGTTCCCTGTTTATTGCAGCTGTGTGATCAAATCTGGGAGCTGGAGCTGTCTGCCTATCAAGACACAAGAAAATGATGCAGAAGACTTCTGAAAAGTTGCAAGCTGCTGGATCTAAAAGTTGAACAGACACTTACCTCGCCACTACCATATCCCAAGTCATTGTTTCCAAGTCAAGGGCATACACATCATTCAGCAATCTCCTGTTCCTATCTTCTCCACCAAAAATTATCAGTCTAGAACCAACCAGTGTGACAGAATGCCCCCCACGGGCTACCTGAAATACACTCAAGAAATAACCAACCAAATTTCCATAAACAAAAGTGCATTTTGCCTCCTTGTAGAGTACATAACAACTTCAAAACATATCATAGAGGAAAACATGAACTCGATGAACATGCCCAGAACAGATATATATAAAAAAAAACAAGCCATTAATAAAGTCAGTTACCGGAGCATTTCCTGAAGTCTCAATAAAACCACAGGCATGTGTTTCCAGATCAATGAACCTCACTGCAAGAAATCAATGACAGGGAAAAGATTCTTCTCAATATACATCTGCGAGCATCGCCAACTAATTTAGAAAAACATCTAAGCCCATCTCTTGAAAAATATTGTAAAGAAACAAACCTATCATGCTATCAGAAGTTGTCTTCGAATGTCCCCCAAGGAGAAGAAGTTTGTTCCCCCACTTAACCTGACACAAAGATCAATAAACTGTCTGAATACACAACACAAATCATGTCAAAACACTGCATTAATGCATACAAAATCTTACCATACTATGATCTGAAGTGGCCGGAAGAACTTCCTGTGCGCCATTCTCTTCACTTTTTCCACCATCCGCCTCACTTTTAAGTTTCAAACTAGACCACACCGAACCTCTAAAATCAAAAACCTGCAAAAACATCCAATCCAAGATCAAGAAAACACACAACCCACGTCGATACACAACAAGCACACAACCGGCAATATCGTATACCTGAACATCAGGTAGATACCGACCAGTACGACTCCCACCCGCAATATACAATTTCTCGTCAGCAACTCCTGCAGCGTGCTAAAAATTGACAACAACACGTCACATTGCCATTAAGAAAATTATACATTCATTAATCGATACAACTATAATAACAATAATTGATTACTAGGTTTTTGTAATAGTAACAAACATCACCTTGTACCGAGCTGAAGGTCGTGTGCCGGATACAGGGATTGGGACCCAATGTTCATAAGGCAATTGCGAAAACCAATTGGCCACGTCCATTTCCTTCTTAAACTCCTCTGTTCCCATAGAAAACTGTTCAAGGTTACTGAAATTCATCACTTGTGAAACCTTAAACAATTAAATCCATCAGCTTAATTAATTGACTATTTAACGTTAACAAGATAGACATCTTATCAGATTGAGATACAAGGCAACAGATCCATGATTAAGAAGGGAAATGTACCTGAATTGGATTGAAATTGACGAGGAAATCAGGGGCGTTGGTGGATCAGGTCGAGAAATATTATGGATCTGATCAGAGATTGGATGGTGTTGATTCTTCGAGTGATGAAATGAAGAATCGAACAGACAAGCGGAGAGATCGCTTGCTGTGGTTGGGAGAGAGTGTGAAAAAAGCAGACCGTAAAAATCTAAAAGTTGTCTCTGGTGGGTTTTTATAGTCTACTGCAGTACTTGCTGTCCGTATGTGTAAAGGAAAATAAGAAAGAAGAATCAAATTTTATCCCCACGTTATAATTTAAATATACATTAAGCCCTTAATCAATTATTTATTTCACCTACGTCCTTTTCATTTTCAAACGACTATTCGATTATTCGAGATAGGGACGAAATGAAACATTTTTTTACATGAACAGGTTATTTGAACGAATTCATAATTCATTAACAAATAT